GATAGGATTTGAACGGTACAATTATTAGACGATGTAGGCTTTACGTTGGGGTAGTATTATTTAGCGGCTAATATTAAGATTTTTCGAGTATCCGAAATCTCCTTTATATATAATTAAAAGTCTTTAAATTTAGAGGGGGCTCTCAGGTACTATTTAATCCTTAAATTTAGGGCTGCCTATATTTAGGTTATAGCGTTTTACTAGTTAGTTTAATTTGAATTTAGAATTCCTATAGTATAAGCGTAGTATAATTTTTTTTTAAAAGTATAGATTGTAATATCCTTCGTCTTCAATTATATTCCTCAAAGTAAATTTATATTTAGTAAATCTTTTTATTACTATAGCTAAGTCGGGTATAAATCGAATAAATAAGGCGTTTATTACTATTAGAATACCGCCGTTTCGGATATTAGTTCGTTAATCGAATAATAATTTAACATTCTATTATAATAATATACGGCCTCTTAGTAGAGTTTGGAAAATAGATATTAATTATATTATATTACAGTCTCCTGTATTCGGGTCCTCTAAGTATGTTTAAATTCGGTCTCAAAATAAGGATACGTGTATTTAAATAACTTTAATTCCGTTGCGAATTATTCTAATATTATTTTTATTTCTTATTTATTAGGGGTTGAAAATACCGACTTTTTTTAGCTTTAATCTTTAAGCTATAGGCGTTTGGGTCTACTACGTATATCGGGCTAGCTTAGGGCTGAAAGGGGGCGGTTCCGGCTCCTTACTAGTATAGTATAGTAATAGGGGTAGGTGCCGGATATCCTTCTAAGTATAGTAGTCTTACGAAGCGCCCGTAAATTTAGATTGGTTAGGTAGTTTGGTAGTTTATTAATAGTATTATACCGGCTAGGAATTAAGTTTATTAATATAAAGATAGGTTGGGAATTTATATAGTATTTTAGGTGGGAGGTATTAGAGTATTTGAAATTTGACCGGTAGGTATTTAGGACTAGTTGGTAAACGTTTAGGTCTAGCTGGTAATTATTAATAGCGGCGGCGGAAGGGGAGGGGGAAGAAGGTTAGATTGTTTAGGGGGTTGTCCGGTATTAGGGCTTGAATTTATAGCAGGATTATTATTATTTAGGTTAGTTAACAAGGATTATAAAGATTACTAAAATTGAATTAATATATAAAGGGAATTGTTGAGTATATTCTAAGTATCCTTTATGAACTTTATATTGTTTTTAATATCCTTTAATTCACCTATTAGAATTTTATAACTATTTAATAAAGTAGCTTCCAAATATTCTATAGTATCCTTATTTCCTTTAAACTTTATTGGTCTTTTCTATACTTTACTATTAGGTTCCCCCTTCTACTTTCCTTTTAGTTATAAGGAGCCGGTTCTAGAATTGGGTATAGGAGCTTTATTATTGCTAGTTTCCAACGGATTTACCGTTTGGGATTCGTTATTTTCGGGAGTTTAAGATAGGGTTCTAAATATTATATATATTACTCTTAGAATCAATAGCGGAGGCTTCTTACGTTTAGTACGGGCTGAGGCCTTTGTATTTATATTAAATGTAGTTAGCGAGATACCTTCTTTATTATTTACTAACGAAGTTGGGCTCTTTAGTAGGTTGGTTGCGATCGCGTTTAGAGGGAGCGGGAGTTTGGGTTGCCTTCCCGTTGGGTCGGGTAATTAATTTTCCAATATAGTTTCCTTCTTTTTAAGGTGTATTATTAATTCTTCTTATTTGAATTTATATATTAGACGAGGTTAGTATAAATAATTGTAAAGGATTTTGTACATTTGTAACGGAAGGGGAATTGCTTTAGACGGTTACTTAAATTTACTATAGGAGGGGTAATATTTATAGTATTAATTAATCTATTAAATGCGTATTTAAATTTGTTATTTTTAGAGATTGGATTAAGGTATTGTAAGGAAATCTAATTGTAAGCGTCTAGCGTTAAACGAAAGGGTAGTATTTTAAGGGATATACTTAAGGAGATTTAGGGGTCTTTTTAATTCTTATACGAGTATTTAAATTCGTTATATTAGTTTCTCGAAGGTTGGAGGATTAGGAGGTGGTTGTAAATTGGGGCTCGTCTGACGGGCGCAAATTTTTGGAGAAGTAATCGAGGGGTCGTTGCGCGAAGTGTAAAGGGTCTTATCGATTATTATAATTATAAGTAAATACATCGCGGGGTGGTTTTATCAATCCTTTAAGTAAAGGGATTAATCGTTAGTTTAGTATAGTTTAGTTAATTAGATCATTCTAGTTGCAATTACTATTTAATGCGGGAGCTCTGGAGTATGTGAAAATATTATATTATAAAGAGAAATACCCTCTAGAAGGTTGATAATATCGACTGCCTTTGAAATAGGGTTGATATATTCTATAGTAGTCGTTATTTTATTAAGTATATCTAAATAAAGGGAAGTGCGAGCCCCGGTAGGCAATTGCCTGCCGGGAGGGGTAGGTCTATGACCTTTACTATTAGAAATCTATATAAATACATAGGTCCGGTATCACTATGCTAATAAAGTACTATAGTTATATAGTATAGGGTAAAAGATTATTATTATTATTATAATTACTATTTAGTAGCAATAGTAATTAAATTAAATTAATAATATAAATTTACTATCGCCGATTTTAACCTTAAATTTAATAGCGAAGCTATTTAGTAATATATAATTAATATAAAGAAAATAAAGAGAAGAAAGAAACTTCGAATACCGGAGGAAAATAAAAACGAACTGTATTTATTAATTAAAGAACTCCTTCTTTATTTAAATTAGAATAAAAGTTATTAGACTTCGAATATTCCTTTTTTGGAGGAAGGTACTAAATATTTAAATATCCATTTACGCTTATAGGTTAGAAAAGGAGACCTTTACCTATATTATTTTAAATTACTTAATATAGAAGGCTTTTTCTAATCGTACTTAGATAATTAATTACTAATAAAAAAAGAATTCTAAGAGTATTTTGACGATGGAGTTAAAGCTAAGAGAATTCTATTATAAACGTTAAAATTAAATAAATTAAAAGAATACTGTTTAATAATCGAACTGAAAGAGGAATAATATAAGGAAATTGCGAAATATTCCTAAGAAGGTAACGAATTATTAACGATATTAGGATATAAGAATAAGAGATAAGGAAGAGATAATTATATTAATTATAAGGACTATTTAAATTACAATTATAGTAAAAATTAGAATACTATTTATTTAATATTTAATTACACTTAAAAAGCTCTTTAAGAAGGTTCATTATACGAATTTAATTCGTAGTAATATTATAGTACTATTAACTCCAATTATCGTTTGTAATAGGGCGGTTCGGGGTATTAATAGTTATAGGGCTATTAAAAGCAATATTATTACTATTAAAATTAGAAATTATACGAATAGGAGTAATTATATTATTATTAGAGTTAAAAGTAATATAAATTAAATTTATTATATTACTACCGACCGAACCGGAGGGAATATAGCTATAGAGGATATTGTCCTTCATATATAGTATACAATAATCCTTTTATTAATAGACAGTAATATTATAGCCTAGAGTATAAAGAAGATTACAAATATTATTCGGGAGGTTATTATATACTAACGATTATATATATATTCCTTAAAAAAATTAGTAGCGTAGACGAAGGTATTTGATTTTATATAGTATTCTACTTAATTAATTAATATAGTAGTAATAGTTATAATTTAAATAACATTCTAAGTATTAGGGAAATTAATTAGAATATTTAATATATATTTACCAGTAGTATAAATATAAATTACAATTTAGGGGTTAGAAATTAAGATTGAACATTAATTAAAGAGGGAAAAGAAAGAAAAAGAAGGATATTGGATTTATAAGTAGCCGAAATAAGATACATTTTACTAGTAATAATCTTATAAAAGGCGTTGGGATTACTAAATTTTAAATTAGAATCCGAAATAATAATAAGGTTTAAAATATAATAGAGATAAGAGATTTTACGGATAGTATTAAACGAATTAATATATAAATATCGGGCGGCGGAAAGGATAATTATACTAGTTGGAAGGGATTTTGAAATCCTTATTACTATAAAATATATAAGAAAATATTACGGGCTCTAAAGGACCCGGAGCTATAAAATTAAATAAAGACGTAGGGTTTAGAAATAAATCGGAGAAGGGGACTTCGGGACTAAAAGTAAGGTCGATTAAATTAGGGCGAATATAGTTACAATTAGAGAGAAATATTTTAAATAATATTATAATAGGGAAGAAAGAGGAAGAAATTAAAAAGGGGCGCCGTAGGGAGGATTATATATATAGAAGAGAAAATCCTTATACTACTATAAATAGAAGTAGAATTGAGGGATAGGAAGTAAAAGGACGGGGTAGAGGTAAATATAAACGAGAGCGACGAAGCGGAGAAATAGGGATATAAATAGGGAAATAGGACGGAAAAATAGAAGGAAGGTGAGAAAAAGAATAGTAAAGGTTAAAACGAAGAAGCAGCGGAAGAAAGCGGCGTTCTTAATCCTATTCTTATTATTCTTATTATTCTAGTATTAGAATAATATAATAGAGGAAAGGACGAAATTAATTTACTATAACGGTAGGTAAGAACTATTATAATTATAAATAAAGTAGGAGCGGTATAAGTAGACTACGGCCGAAATAAAATTAGAGGTTTTTATCCGGCAGCGCTCAACGCCGTACGGTTTTCCCCTCTAGAGAACCTAGAGAAGGACCCTATACTAATAAGGTACTATAGTTATATAGTTAGGGAAAAAGAATATTATTATTAGTTTTAAATTATTAAACGCGGTCCAAAATAGTAGGAAACTAAACTACCTAAATACTCCAGCGCTATATCCTTATAATAATAATTAAAGACTCAATAAAAAATTATTAAATAATTTAAAATATTAGAATATATACCTATAAGAGTAGGAAATTATTTAATAAAGTAAGTATTATTTTATAACAATTTATTAATAGAAGCCTCATTTCTTAGTACACACAGACTTTTAGCACCCCACTGTATTTACTAGTCAACTTTCAACTAAAAATTATTAAACTAGACTATCGAATAAGCCTATTTTCCATCACTAGCACCGTGGATTTCGACACCTTTGCCTTCAATCATGCATCAAGCTCAACGTAGTTGGCGGGGAACAGACCTGACGCTCCATTGTAGTGGCCAAACCACCAGTCATCATCGGGAAACTCCAAACCCGTAATCGTGGCTCCTTCGGGGAAGCTCAACTCTGTACCGATTCGTTAGTCACTGCTAGGCCTGGGTTTCGCGGCTAATATATGCCGGGCTTGCAAGCATCACTTACCATTATCTTCTGCTGCCTCGTAATCAAACTGCGCCGTCGCTGTTGGGCCAGCGACTTGATCGGCCGGAGTTGCAGGTGCTACCGCTTCGGCCTGCGCAGATGAAGGCACAACAGGGGCTTGAGTCGCCGCTACTGTTGGGGCTGCGCTGAAAGCAGCAGCAGGCTCATCGTCCTCCACGACTTCCACGTAGTTGCTAGGGAAAAGTCCACTCTCCCCTTGCGCATTGGTTCCCATCCACCAATCGTCATCCACCATCTGAATATTGGTGACATAGTCACCTTCCCGGAGATCAATCTCATTATCCTCGGCCTTCTCGTAGTCATATTGTACCAGAGCACGCTTGCCACCATCTGAACCAGCCTGCTGAACCTCGACACCCTGGCCAAGAGATTCGCTGGCAACATTCAGGGCAGCAGCACGGGGATCGTGGGTATCCTCCTCTACGGGGAGGTCCTCTTCTTTCGGTAGATCCTGCGATACGGGCACCGGACGGGGTGGCAGATTGCCAGCTGGCTCCACCTCAGGCACTGCGCTCCGAGCAATCGGGACTGCGATGCGGGCAGGGGACGAAGGCTCATCTTCATGCTGGTCGGCCGATTCGAGTGCACGGACTTCTTCTTCTAGCTGCCTTTCATCGTTCCCTTCCTCGGCGTCAGCAACAGAAGGCCGGGATGGCAGACCAGGAAGGGCAAAGCCACCGGAAGGACGGCTTCCGGTTGGCAGGGGCGGCGGAGTATGCCCTTCTTCACCAGTGGCCGGGCCGGGAGAAGGCACGCTTGGTGCTGACCGTGAACCCGTACTGACCGCCACAGGTGCCGTATCCTTGAATCTCTCGCGCAGCGCAGATATGCCGCCAGCCGGTGAGGCAGGTGCTTCAGGCTCATATTTCTCTTGCGAGGCGCTTTCTCCGGTTGCGTGTGATTCAAGACCTCGGCTGTAATTGGGTGCCTGCACAGGTGCCCAGCTCTTCCCCGCGTAACCGCTTTTCCATTCGCTCCCGCTCTTCTGGGCAGCAATAGGCGCAGCGGCGGGAGAGGGAGTGGACGCAAATGCAACTGCACCGCCTTGCTTGGCCTTCTTCTCGGCCCAGATTTGGGCCGGCGTCTTGCCTCCCTGATCCGCAAATGTTCTGCTGGCAGCCCCAATAGGAGTAGCGGTAGGAACTGCAGGCGAGCTGAAACCGAGAGGAGCCGGCGTAGGAGCTTTGGTGCCAGTAAATGCAGCGCTGCCTACAAATTTCTTGGCAACTTTGGGCTTGGGGAGTTCGGTCAAGCGTTCTGCTTGCGTAAATACAGCAGTCCTCTCTGCCAGACTCCTGGGCGTCTCCAATTCTTCCGGTTCAGTCGGACGTTGTTGAGCCTTTGCGCGAATGGCGGCAATATCAACCTTACCCACCGGTTCGTAGGCTCCCTTCACGGTTACAGGCCGATCATCATAGGTCTTCTTTGCTTGGGCGCGAAGAGCAGCAATATCAACCTTTCCGATAGGCTGATAACCACCCTTAACAATGTCTTCCGGCCGGTCATCTTGCTTCTGAGTTTCATCGGAACGCAAGTCATCTTTGTTCTTCCTGAGTTCGGCAATGTTGACCTTGGTCGGCTGGTAGGCAGACGCGACCTTCTCCAGCTGGGTCCGCGTGACTGGCGGTGCATCGGCACCCCAGCCGTCGTCATCTTCGCCCCCGTGATTCCGGATCCGCGCGGCAACAATGGGGTTGAAAGAGCTGGCCGATGTAGAGGTAGTCGGGGTAAAAACGGGCTTCTTTGCAACGGGGGGCGGGGCAACGGCTGACGCGGGTGCCGAACCGCCGGCGGTATATTTGGCGCCTGAAGCATCGGCAACCTTTTGCACAATAGACTCGGGAGAAAGGTCTCCGTCGGAGCGTGCTGTTATCTGAACATGGTAGCCGTGAAGAATCTTGGAGACGGCGGCCAAGTGGCTGGTAAAGTACCCCTTTGTTCGCTCGGGAACACCACCGCCACACCAGGCAATCAAGACGTTCTTAGGAAGTCCACTGTTGGGGTCCTTGACTTTGACGAAGGCAAATTGAATGCGACCCTCGTTGAAGTCCTCGATCAGGTCGGAAAGCTCACCATCTGTGATGACGGATAATTAGTCGGGCCCATAGATATGGTGGGAAGGAGAAGTTGTGGGCCGGCATGGCACTCACCGCCAGTGCTCTCGACCTTCAGGATGCTCTCTTTTGCCCCAGCGTCTTGGAAGGCATTCAAAAGAGGCGCCTGGACGGAAAAAAGGGCCCAGTGTGCGTAGGTAGGAGATGCCGAAGATGGCGCAGGGCCGTTGATGACGCCCTGATAGCTGCTCTTGATGGAGGGCCCGTGGATGGACAGGTTTAAGGAGGCCATGGTGGGCGGAGTGGCCAGCTTTGTAGAGCGGAATGGATGGGTAAACGACGCGAAGGAGCTGGAGCGTTCAACAATCAGAATATCGTGAATTGTTGATAGCTGCAGCAACGGCTACAGATTGTTGGTGATCTAGACGTCGGTCGGGTCGATATTGGAGGTCGAGAGCGAGATGAAGGTTCCGGTGTTTGGAGGCGCATGGACGGGACAAGTCGTTAGAGCTACGCAGGGCTGGAGTTAGGTACCCTTTAGGTACCTAGGTAAGTGGAAGTTGGGGAGGAGCTCCATCCGCGCACATACGTCAATACACTACTATGGTGCATGACTAGGACTACTGCCTCTACCACACGTAGCGAGAGGTACCTCTACACTAGAGGTATGTTCCGGCCGGCGAGTCCAGTCTGGGGCGTTGTGATGGGGACTGCAGATGGACGGGAGGTACCTCTACCTAGGTACTATATACAGCACCTCCGTATAGCGTTCGAAGCGGTGTCTGCCGCAGCGTCCCTACCTAAGAAGGTAAAGTGTAAGGGCGTATACAATATAGGTTGGTTTATTTGTTAGTTTAGTCATTTAAAGAGGTAAAATAAGGGCAGAATAAAACAATTTTAGAAATTTTATTAGCTTTTAAATAGAAATAACTTATTCTTATTTGTAGAGTTTTGTAAATAATTAGAGCTTTAAATACTATCACGGCACGTAGATTAGGCGAGTGGCTAGTACTACTAATCTAACGAATGTAATAAATAATTAACTACACCTCTGCCGGTATTAAACTTGTTAGCGTGATACCGCCACGCTATAATATTTAGGGGCCTATACGTTGCTAGACAGTCATTTTCTGTACGGAAATTAAAGTTCTTACCACTTGCAAATCACCACGCTAGCAAGTTTAATGCCGGCAGAGGTGTATAGGGAGTAAAAAGGAAGAAGAAGTGCTAGCTCTGGCTGGTATAGTTAAATATAGGAAGGAAGTGGGTCTTGAGAAGGGATGCAACCAATTAGACAATACGGGTGGATGCAATAAGGATGCACCTAATTAGAGAGTGTAGATACGAGTATAGGCCAGTCTTAGCACCCTTAGTATCCAGTCTAGCTTAGGTATAATATTACCCCCCCCCCCCCCCTCCTACGAAAGAAAGACTTAGACCTAGAATTGACTAGAACTATTAAAATTATATATATCTATATAAAAACTATTGAAGTTCTCAATGAGCGTAAGCCTTATTGAATCTTATAGAGCCTTACTCTAATTGCTGGGAATCCTCTATATAATGTAATAAATCGAAAAGAGATAATGCCGGTTCTGTAGTAGCAGGATTGCCTTAATATTAAACGAAAAGAAAGAAAGAGTGTTGTATAACGTTGTAATTCTTTATATAATCCATTTCTTATACTAATAATTAATAGCTATTAGGGTACTTATTCTATATATAGTATTAATTGTCTAATCTAAATATATATATCTAAAGTTGTAACGCGAGTATTATGATATATACAGAGTCTAGAATTGTAGTTTAGTTGGAGAAGGATATTAAGACGGATTGTTAGTGTCGATAAAGTTTAATTCGAGAGACGAAACGATAGAGAATAACGTAGAAGATACTTTTATTTATTATTATTAACTTTTTAAAATAGAAGGAAGGTAATAAAATTACAAGAGATTTAGAAAAAAACTAGATTAGTAGAAAAGATTTAATTGAATATTTGATTGCGAAAGATGAAGCAAAGCCCATTCGGGATGATAGGAGTATTAATTAGAGGGGTAGTAGAGATTTAATTTAATATTTAATTTCGAGAGACGAGGTAAAAGTATTGGATCTGGGACAATAGGAGTGTTAATTAGCGGCGCGGTATTAGTAACGATGTTTGTAATGTTCTTTTAGCTTCTTATATACACGCTTTAAAGAGTAAAGACGAGCGGTCTTTCTTATAATTGGTTAATAGATTTTAAAAGACGCGAAAATTAAAGATAAAAAGGTAATAAGAATATAATTTCTAATTCGGAAATGTAAAAGGGATTGTAATAAGGGTAATAGCTTTGAAGATAGAGCGTTAGAATTATAGAAATAGAAGAAGTAAATTGAGATAGCGGGATTGAGGTTAATAGTAGGGGATTAGCAATATCCAATATAAGGGATCCAGATTGTCGATAATGAGGCTGAAAGTATATAATAATTCATTAACTATTAGGCGGCTAATTGAATAATTATAATAATTGAGATAGTATCGAAAGAGTTAGAACGATATAATAAAATAAGAAGGGTATTAGTACTAATTAAATAATACTAATAACGTAGTTTGGAAAAAGGAAAATCTGGGTTCGGGATAGCTTCGTTGGCATAGCGAGCCCTAAGGTTACATATAATCCTCTATTTTTAATTCTAAACTTTCTAATATTCTAATAATATAACTATTACGTAGCCCCCTACATACGTTATATTAGGGCTAAACCTTATAAGGTAGTAGGCGCCCCACTTAATTATATATAAAAATTGGGTTCCGTTAGTCGGATAAATATTAATATAATACGGCCTTACTTTTAGTAGTACTGATTAAAGAAAGAGAAATTACAATCCCTAATTAATTAACAATTTACGCGTAATAAGCTAATTAGAGAAGGGATAGTTAATTAAGTATTACAGTCCGTAGATTGGGCGAGTGGCTGGTATTACGAATTTAAAGAATATAATAAATAATTAATTATTATTATAGAGCTGGCGCCCGGGTGATTTGGCTTGGCTTTGCCAAGCCGGGAATAAGCTGTATCAATAAAGATGTAAGCCCCCTAATTAGCTAGACTAAATATTTGCCTAGCCCGTACATTGGGCTATAAAACCTTCTTTTGACTATACTCTTCTAATATAGTCTTCCTTTACTCTCTTTATTAAATATAGCATTTCAACCACACACGACCTGCTCGCTGTATAATACTCTAATAGACCCGTTATATTATATTTAACCCTCTTTTTAAATTAATACCGTTACTAATCTTTTGTAAGCACGTCCAAAAAATCTCTATCCACGCTGCTACTATTTAGACCCCCGTCCCTCGCAATAATAATACTAGCCGCCGCCTTCTCCGCAATCCTTTAATCGTAAGACCCCTAAGAACGTTTCTAGCAATTTACAACCGCTTTCTAAACGTTACTAACCGAAGTTATTTTAAAGCCTGCCGCTATATTTAAATAAGTACTTCTCTAATTCGAAAAGTTTTTAAAGAATAAGAAAAAGTTCGAAACCTAAGTTTCAAACGCGTAGGTTAAATTCTATATAGATAAATCCGCTATTAGCAATATAAAAGCGCAATTCTACTACCTACTCGCTTACCTATCGCCCGCTATTAAGAAGCCACTCGTCGCTTTTGCCGCCTACGGCCCACAGTCGCCTTCTAAACTATTTACAAAACTTAAACTAATATATAGTAACCCTAACGTAATTAAAAGAACTAGTTAAGAGTTGTACCAACTATATTAAAAGCCCGGCTCTAAGGAATCTATAATGGCCTTTATTATCCGCTTTAAAGAAGTATTATATTACGCTTATATAGATTCCTAATCTAATACTGCTAAAGTTAGCCAATTTACTACTACCTTAAATAACAATTAGAAATAACGGTTCCCAAAAAGAATCGACGTACCTAAGAAGTATTTACTACTACTAAACTACCTCTATCGTCTTAATAGTAACGTCTTTTTTGCTTTATCTTCGTCGAAGTACCTGGTTAAAAATAATAGTAATCTTATAAATACCTCTATTAATTTTACTACTCCATTAAAGATAAAAGGGAGCAACAACATTTTCTAAAAGTAGAAGAATAAATAGAAGAAGGAGGGCAAGTATACTAATTACAATAGTAAATTATGTTAGTTCAAAAAATACCCTTAAATCTCGAAAATAAATATAGTCCAGCTATAATCTGGTAGGAGTTTAAATAGCTATAGTAGCAATACCGAAGGGGGAGAAGATTTGGACTAAAATACCCTAATAAAACTATAGTAGAGGGAACACTAACTAAGATTCAAAAGGAGGAGTCTCTAACAATTAGGAGAGGCAAAGCTACAATATAGGGAATATTAATTCAATTTAAGTTAGTAGTATGGTAAGTCCTTAGATTATACTCCTCTACGTATAGCTAACTAGATATTAGTATTTACTACAATACACAACCGTTGGAAGGTAGCAGACGTAATATTTTATAGGCATAAGGATTATTAAGATTACTTCTAATGAGAGGTATAGTGAATCTATTTAATAGTAGCTCCTATTAGCGGGAGAAGTAGAGCGATACAAAGTATTAAGTAATAGTTTTAATTCTAATTATTAATCGGGTATTAATTTATAACGCGGTACGAGGTCCCCAGATAGGCAAAGTCTAAAAATATTCCTTAATTCAATTTTAGTACCCTAGCCGGAATATAGCTCTATAAGGGTAACAATAGACATATTATTACCGACTCGAATAGGGAGTAGATAGTTGTATAGCGTTTATTTGGGAGCTTAAATAGAGAGATCTTTCTTTTCTAGTATTATTAATATTCGTACCTATTTAGTTAGGCAATTTAGTTAAGAGCGGTTATAGGGGATTTTAGTTATTTCTTCGTATATTTAGTAGAGTCTTTTCTAGTACGGTAGACTGACCTCCCTGAGGGGGAGTAGGGGGGTAATATTATAGGGCTAGCTCCCAGGTAATTTAGCTTAGCTTTGCTAAACCGGGAATAGGCCGTATTAATAAAGATGCAAGCCCCCTAATTGGCTAGACTAGATGTTTACCTAGCCCGTACGCTCGGCTAAAAAACCTTCTTTTGACTACACTCTTCTAGTACAATCTTCCTTTACTCTCTTTATTAAATATAGTATTTCAACTACACACGACTGCTTACTATATAATACTCTGGCAGACCCGTTACAATTATAAGGAGTAAAAAGGAAGAAGAAGTACTAGTTCTAGCTGGCACGGTTAAATATAGGAAGGAAGTGGGTTCCGAGAAGGGATATAACTAATTAAATAATATAAATAGATATAATAAGGATGCACCTAATTAGAAGGCGCAAATACAAGTACAAGCTAGTCTTAGCAACCTTGGTATCCAGTCTGGCTTAATTATAATAAATACTATATATATTATAGTATGCTCGGATAAGCTTCTAGAGTACTAGCTACTAGGTACTATTAGCATATTAAATAGAATATAACTTATATTCTTATTAATAGCAATTTGGATTGGGAAGATAGTAACTATAAGTAGAATCCAAACTTATATATCTAATTCTAAATACCTTCATTTGTATATTTTTTTTTTCTTGTTTATACTTAATGTTACTTTAATTTATAGCTTCTAGTCTTACAACCTATCCCTTATAAAATTATACTTTTATAATAAACTTCTTTTTCTTACTTTTGGAATATTGAACTACTATTCTACAATATCTCATTATAAGAATTTAATTTACAATTATAAGTCTATTAAACTTAATTTTATTTATAACAATTATTAAAATAATAACTCCATAATATATACTATAAAGTGTATTTTATAAACAAAATACTATTTACTAAGTACGTTAATATATTAAGTATATATATCTTTCTACTTAATATAATATTTCTTATATATTAGTAAGATACTATTATAGCTGAGCTAGACTAATTGTTAAGACTGCTAAGACTACTCCTATAGTCCGTACTCTCATTTGCACTCTTTAACTAGGTAGATCCCTATTGTATCTGACCTTATTCTCTAATTGGCTACATCCCTCCTTAGGACCTAGATTAGCAGTGCTAGCCACTTGCCTAGTCTACGTACTATAATAGATATTATAAGTCTAAGTTTTTATAGTAGTACTTTAAAGTTATAACTTATTTAAACACTTATAATTATTTTATATATAAATAGTATGTATATAAAAGAGATAAAATAAAGTATTTTATAATAATACTAGTCTAATAATACTATTATACTTCTTAATCTTTTGTTAGAAATTTAATACTATAAGAGATAGCTAATTAAGTATAGTAATAAATATAAAAGTAATATAGAATAAACTAATTGTCACAGGATTAGCCTGTGTGCCTTGTGCCTGGTGCCAGCGTACAGCAGCTTCTAAGACTGCCGTACGCTGTCATCACTGCCGGCAATCCGGCTATTGCCGGCAGTTGATTGGTTGAGCGCTGCCTGCCACGGGTCTATAGACCCGCCGGTGGCCGCCCTCATAAGGCCAGCCTTCTAGGCACTCGGCTGCACATTTCTCTTCCTTTCTCCTTCGTGCAATTACGCATATTCACATCTACCATCTACCCTTCGCCCATAATACTAATATAAGCTTTAAATTTACTAATAATATTTACCTTTTTAATAATTTTATAAGTTAGAAAAAATATTATATAAGAGTTAACTATAACTAACTTACATATAAATTCTATAATTACTTATATAATTTAGATATTTATATTATAGGGCGCGAGTAAGCACTATAGTAAGACTTTAATTATTGTACGAGGAATAGGAAGAGAATCCTATATGCGTACGAGAACTATATAGGGCACGCTGTAGATCCAGTACACGGACCACAGCCAGACTGGGCTACGTGGGTATGTAACTACTGTACTGCACTCAAACAGCTGTATAGCTAGCTATACTACTACAGTACAGCACCTATCTATATATAGGAATATAGTAGTAATGCCTATAACAATTTACTTGTAGTTTATATAAATGTATTTAAAGCTTTTTCTTTTTATTTTATATTTTTTAAAAGATCCTATTACAGTTTAAGAGTGATCTTACCTTTAATTTAAATATAGTATATTCTTTATTATTAGGAAATCTTTTAATAATACTTAGTATTATAAAGTTACTTTACAATACAATTATACTATATAATAATATACTAAAGCTATTATTAGCTATAGTTATATATATTTCTATATACCTACGCGTATATAAACTAGTTAGTCTATATTCTTTCTATATAACTTATTTTTTGAATATACTTTTCTTCTTTTTAATTTTCCAAAAGTATATATTTTACTCTATTCTTAATATTTCTTACTCTAAGTATTACTACTATATTTCTATATATAAATAGGTACTACACTATATTAGTATAGTTAGCCAAGTACAGCTATTTAAATATAGTATAATAGTATAGTTATATACTTACGTAGTTTAATTATAGTTCGTATAGTAAGTTTATATTACTATATTTTATATAGTTTTTGTATATATATAAGTATTAAAGTGTCAAAAGTATATAATGCTTCTGGGCTAAATTATTAAAAGATAGAAGAATATTCTATTTACTAAATAAAATATTTAGTATACACTTATATAACTTATTATAATTGAGTACTAAAGCCTATAATAATAGGATTCTCTTTTTATTCCTCATATAAAAACTAAAGTCTTAACTTAGTACTTACTCGCTCTCTATATAAAACCGCTTTTATTTAATTTTAATTTAATATATTAACTTATAATATTATATAATATCTCTATTATTAATAAGAAGAGATTAAGTATTTAAATTATAATTATCAGTCAATTGGAACTCTTTTTTATATAGATCAAACTCTTGTTAGAATCTTATATTATAAACCAAAGGTTTCAAAAATAATATTATTTATTACAAGACGCTAATAGATTAAAGTAATGATTTATGAGTTAATAGTAAAAATAATATTATAATTAATAATAAAGCTTACTTATTAGTATATAAACGGGGGCGACGAAGCGGAGGAGTGGGGACGCAAACGGGGAGATAGGACGGAGAAGCGGAAGGAAGGCGGAGGAAGGAGCAGTAGGGGTTGAAACGAAGAAGCGGCGAAGGAAGGCGGCGTTCCTAGTCCTATTCCTATTATTCTTATTATTCTAGTATCGGAATAATATAGTAGAAGAAGGGACGAAATTAATTTGCTATAGTAGTAGGTAAGAACCGTTATAGCTATAAGCAAAGTAGGAGCAGCGTAGGTAGACTACAGCCAAAATAAAGCTAGAGGTTTTTATCTGGCGGCGCTTAACGCTATACAGTTTTCCCCTCCAGAGAACCTAGAGAAGGACCCTATACCAATAAGGCACTATAGTTATATAGTTAGGGTAAAAGAATATTATTTTACTTATTAATATTAAATCATCTTCAAGCCTATTTTAATATATAAATCCATTTCTAATTAATATAGTAGGAAGTAAGATTAAAAACTATTAGATATTACCAACAAACATATTTTTAATATATTTAAACTACAATAGTCCAAGAATAATACAAATTAATAAAGACTATAAAAGACCTTTATAGTAGAAACCCCTACTTTTACTAATAATTCTAGTAGCTAAAATTCTTAATAAAAGGGGGGGTTTTGCAAAAGAGGGTGCTTGCGCACAGACCAGACATGAGCCTCTTGGCCACTGGAAGCCTGCTGATAGACTAAAAAAGTGGGTCATTTGAGCCAGCTGCCCCCCCCCCCCCGGTACAAGGGTATAAGTGCTCTCTCCCACTAAAA